AATGCAGAGGACTCTTATTTGTTTAATTTTAATTGCAGTAAAAAGTTTCTTTGAGGAATTTTGTGACCTGTGAATTCTCTGAATAGTCATCATTGAGAATCGTGCGTGATTTCGGTTCTTTGCATATTTGATAAGAGGTTTTAATGAGTCGATCATTCCTATTTAATTACAACCTTGCTGTAAAAAGTCTGATGCATTTTTTTCTTCAGTTTTATTTCTATTCGTGACTTGAATTTGCTTGCTAAATTAAAAGCAGGTGATCTTCCGGTTTTATTAGAGGTTTACTTTTTTGTCTAATGCAACAAAATGATTCAGCTTGTGAAAATCTATATGCCGTTGCCTGCAAAAGTGGATGGTTGTTCAAAATTCACGAGTTGTACTTGTTAACTTTGAATTTGTGAATGCTAAACAAGAGTTTCCCCTTCGTATCTGAAAATGTAAAAGAAAAGCTTAATCATCTTTTTATATGCTATATAGGATTCACCAACAAATAAAGTATGTATGCCTTCTCCTTACTGCTGATCTGTGAAATCATCTTACCTTTTAGCAACTTGAACTTACTGATAATCCAGTTTTTTTCCTTGGCAGGCTAAGCTCCAAACTAATAGACTAAAATAAGTTGCATTATATACAAGCCAATCACTTCCTCGTTTGTGCATACAATAATAGATTGTTAGAAGCATACAAAATTTTTTATTCGTACCACATTTGTCAAAAGCTCATATTTTGTCTCATCAGAACCTATATGGATTACAATTGTCTTCTTGATATGCACTAAGGCCCATTTCAATTCAACATTTAATGAGGAACATAAAATTAAACAGTTGAAAGTAATATTATGTTTTGCACATCATTTTCAAATATTTAATTAAAAAAAATGATGAACTTTAGATATTCTCACTGTATTGCATTCCACCGACTAAAACGAATTGAGTTTCAGGGCTTAGGTCTGCTAATCCTATCGGCTGTGTTGCCAAGCCTTCGTCCGCCCAAGTGTTCCATCGATGACGGCAATGCATGCGGTCCAAATCATTTCCAAATAGGCTTCTTCTACTTAGCTCTATACCTTGTAGCACTTGCTCAAAGTGGCCACAAGCCTTGCACACAAGCATTTGGCGCTGATCAGTTTGATGAAAACGACCCTGAAGAGAGCCTCTCGAGGAGCTCATTTTTTAACTGGTGGTATTGTGGCTTATGCCTGAGCACGACAGTGACAATTATACTGTTGAGTTACGTGCAAGATAATATTAGCTGGACCCTTGGATTTGTGATACCGTTTACTGCCATGGGACTTGCTCTCGTCTTGTTCTTGCTTGGGACTGACAAATATCGCTTCTATCAATTGGAAGGTGAAAGTTCATTCCTTAGAATTGGGAAATCACTGGTTGCTCTAGTTAAAAGTTGGATGGTGTCTTCTCCTGCATTGATTGGGAGCTGGACTTCCACATCTGATGAAGGTGCAGGAATTGATCATAACATGTAAGGGAGTTTTTTATCCATAAGGAATTGATCATATCATGTTGCAATTACTGGTTTTTCTAATTCCATTGTTTTTGGCAGACTCGCATGAACTTCTGCATCATAATTTCATGGGGTTAAATATTAAAATGCTTCAATTTAATCTAAAACTATCACATTTCTTCAATGTAGTCCCTCAATTATACATAATTGATCCTAAATGATCCCTTATAGAGGCTGAATTTAGATCAATTCTATATAGTCAATAAGGTAAGTTGGAGAAATGTGATACTCTAGAATTGAATTGGCCATATATGAATTGTCAAGAGGCTTTTGAAATTTATATTGCTAATATGCTTGTTTATATCCTATAGCACCACAATTTTTAAATCTTTTTCAATTTAAAAGCTTTCATAAATCCATTTTGTATAGGTTTGCGAAAGATGAAGCACCAGATGGAATCCAAATAGAAGAAGCCAAGGGAGTGCTTCGATTAGTACCAATATGGGCGACATGCTTAATATATGCTGTAGTAGTTGCACAGTCATCAACCTTTTTCACCAAACAAGGGAGCACCCTGAACCGGAGAATCGGCTCAAACTTTCTGGTTCCACCTGCTGCCTTGCAGAGCTTCATTAGCATCTCCACTTTTGTTTTCATTCCAATCTATGATCAAATCCTAGTTCCTGTTTCCAGAAAATTTTCCAGGATTCCTACAGGAATGACTCAACTCCAAAGAATTGGTGTCGGAATGATTGTCTCACTAATATCTATGACAATATCAGCCCTAGTTGAGGTCAGGAGATTGAAAACAGCACAATATTATGGGCTGATCGATCAACCAAATACAACAATTCCGATGAGTCTGTTGTGGTTAGCTCCTCAATACATTTTCTACGGCATTGCAGAGGTGTTTATCGTTGTAGGTTTGCAGGAGTTCTTCTACGACCAGGTTCCTGATGCACTGAGGAGCCTTGGGCTTGCTCTCTACCTTAGCATTTTTGGCATTGGAAGCTTCATTAGTAGCTTCCTCATTGCTGTCATTGACGAAGAAACTAGTAAGAGTGGAGAGAGCTGGTTCTCTGATAATCTGAACCGTGCTCATCTTGATTATTTCTACTGGCTTCTTGCTGGTCTCAGTGCTGTAGGACTTGTCATCTACCTGTACTTTGCACGATCTTATGTATACAAGAAGAAACAAAGTTTCTTTACAAGAAATTTAACGTCATCAGGTGATATTATGTAAGGCATTAATGAGGTTTGAGCTCTGTATTTATATTGAATTTGTATATTAACAGTCAGGTCTATAAATCTGGAGAGATTATTAGGTGCGGAGTGCAGATTGGGAGAACCGTCTGCACACTAGTATAAAATCCAGCTATGTACCATTTGGTACCGCTGGGTACCACTAGGTACCGCTTGGTACCCTGTGTCTGTGCTGACGGTGCTCTCCCCGTCTCCACTCCGCACCTAATAATTATTCATAAATCTGATGGCTAATTCTTGCTGTGCAAGTTATCACTTATCAAAATGTTAGAAATACCTAAGGTTTACATTTCTATGAGCCATAATCGCCTTCAGAAGCCAACTTATGCGCCTGCTTGTTTTGCATCAATGATTTTTCACATAATTCGATCTTCTATTGAAAATAGTAAATCCGGTGCTGTAATGGAGAAAGTTTGAGTTAGCTGATGTGGACAGTGGGGGAGCCCTCATTTTTCTTTTATGAGGGCACGAATTATAGATCTTTAAGGATACTCTCAACGTTTTTAATCTAAGCTTGTGACTAGTATCGAGTTTTTTAAAATTGTTTATGAGATTTTTTAATCTTAAAATTAAATTTATAATAAATAGAAACATATAATTGAGATTCGGATTATTTTTTCCAAAATTTATATTAAAAGAGATTTGAATATTTAAAAATTCATAAAAAAAATTATAAATTATATAAAGATAATCATCTCCTCCACCATAAATTAATAGAGATTTTGATGGAGGATTTAGTAGGCAGCTTATTATGATAATTTCTTTCAAATTTTTTTAAGAAAATAATAGAGATTGATTAGATAATAAAAAAAATTAAAATTTGCTCAATTGAACTCAAATTATATGATTCATTAAAAACTTTAGAACTCTTTAAACTCAAATTATTTTTCACCACTTTGATCTTTTGAATTTTTTCGATTTTTTTCTGAAGGTCTTGTCAAAACAATAATGTTTTAAAATAGAATATCATTTTGATTTTTATTTTTTTTAATAATTGAAGGTTTAAAGTGGGGTATGCTTCTATAATTTCTCAAAAAATAAAATAAAAAAATCGTAACAAATTTATTTTTAAAAAAAATTAAGGTCAAAGCCCATTCATTACTATAATGAAAAATACAAAAAAAAAAGTCTTAACTACAACGCAAAGATGAAAATACAATCTAGAGCTGTAGACAAAAAAGGAAAGCTGTAATGATTCCAAAGAATGACAAAAGAAAGGTCCAAAGAAAACAGAAAAAAATAAGCAAAACTGGACTCAGTATCAAAAAGAGCTTGCACGAACAAGTCATATAATGAGCCAATATCCGATCAACTCAGTTGCCATACAAAATAGCCATCCAGAAAGAGAGATGAACAGGATAGCAACAGTAGTATGGGCAGCCAACAAATAAAACAGAGCCCAGCAGAATCTGTTATGAAGTAAGTCAAATGCGTCCACCCGTCTTCATCACGATCAAATGACGTACTAAATGCATGAATCGCTCTTAGTGGTCCAATGATGAACTTTTATTAGGTCCTCTGACCGGACGTTGCTCAACGTTCGGTCATCACTGAGTTACTTGGTTTTTGTTCGGTATTTGCTCGGTATTGCTAGGTATTGCTTGACAATAACGAGAAATACCTGTGAAGATAAATACCGAGTAATATAAAAAAATACCGAGTTTTTCTAGAAAAAAACTCGATTTTTTTTGGTATTACTTGGTATTGCTCGATATTTTGTCTTCACATAATGATATTTCTCGTTATTGTTGGTACTGCTCGATATTTCTCGTTTTGTGTGCTACGTGGCGCGATCTCAGTGCCGGCCGAACGTAGCTCTACGTACGTTCACCGGACCAAATAAAAGTTCCCAAATAATGGGATGCTTTTTAATTTGCTACTTGGTTACCTTAAGCGGTCACATTTATGAGTCTGACAGCGTCCAACATTAACTTCTAATGCTAATTCCTCGATAAGATAGTAACGGTTGCCGTCATCGAGAACAATATAATTAATATTGAGCACAATACCACCAAGGCTTAGAGTGGTTGTGGGACGTGTACTATTGAGAACCCCCATCCCTGATTCGAATCTCCTCTACTATAACCAAATCAAGTGTGAGTCCGACGCTGGTGGGTAGCCTCGCTAGATTCCGCCGAGGAATTAGTTATGCCACTAAGCATTTTCTTCGGAGCGGCAGTATGAGGGTAGATATCCCCATTCACCAAAAAAAAAAAAAAAATACTCAGCCCAATCCATAACAGATTGCTCATTCTGTTTAAAAAAGTTTATAGGCAAGAGTTTTTTTTTTTGCTATGAATTAAATATAAACTCACACACATATCATATGGATAAAATTTAACAAGTAGCTCTTTGATAATATGATAAATATTTATTTCTTTTATTTGAAGACTTGTTCAATATTTTTTTTTACTTTTTAATAATTTAAATGCTTAAAAAATATAATCTTGTATATTTTTGAAATAAAACACTCATTCTTATTATTAATATTTAAACTTCATCAAATAAATCAAATAACTTAATGAATTATGTCAATTTTTATAAAAAATCATAAATCTAACTATATCCAGTAGTAAGAATTTATATTAAAGTTATTAAAAACAAATATATTAGGCTTGATGAGAGCTCAATTTAAGATCAAGCACAATTAGAAAATTAATAAATAAAGGAACCAATAAATAAATAAAAATTATATTTTTTTCCAAATCCAAAATTTACAGTATCCACAAGTATTTTTCAGCCAATAAAAGTGTAGCACTCATTTGATAAAAGCTTGTTGATTAAAAAATTTTCATTCATATTCATATATTGTTTTTTTTTAATTATTTTAATTTTAGATGATTTTTTTATTACACCTCAGTATATTCGAAATAATGGAGAATGTTATGTTTGTTATTTTTTGTGAAGGTTTTGAAGTTTGTTTGTGCTTGTCTTCATCATAATTGTTACTGTTCACTTTCTAATTGCTAGTGCTTAATAGTGATAGACTATCATTGATTATTCACATTACTTATTATTATTATTATTTTTACTTACTTCATGTCATTAAACTATAGGTATATTGTACTTTTTAACCCTCAATACTGTCGCAAAACTGGTCACAAAGGCTTGAGCCTGTAGATTCTTCAAATCATCCTCTCATGATGATGCAACCATAAAGAAAAAATGTAGAAAAAAACTTCATAATTAAGCTCATTGAATTCTATCTACTATTTCATTAAATAATTACATTTTTTACTCATTTTTAATTAAAAATTATATATATATTGATTCTAGGTGGTTAATCATCAATATTTAAGCACAACATAGATGCACAAATAAATGACACTTTTTTCAATAAGATGAAGATTTATAACAAAGATTTTATTATTTGAAATTAAAGCATAAGATCAATTACAAGTATAATGATGTGAGAAGATAACATCAATTGCACATAAAGAGAACATATACTACTGATAAATCAGGCTTTCGTAGCTCTATTTATGACCTACAATGGCAGTATAAACACCTTCGAACCGCTGCAAATCCGTTGTATTTGTTTTTGCTGCAAAGACTTTAATAGCGGTTTTGTGAGTGTTGTTGCATGTCAGCATTAGGATGGTTGGATTCAGCATCGAGATGGGTGGCTCCATGGGCGAATCTGCCCTTTGCGCATTGGGGGCAATTGCGCCCCCTTAAAAAAAAAAAAAAATACAAAAACCCATTTAACTAAAGGTTGTTTGATAATTTTCCCTTTCTAATGTTATTATTTTGTCATAACCGATCATTTTTCACGCATAGGGCACGCACAGGAGCCGCCCATATTCGGTTCTCTTTCCTCTCGCGGTCTCGCCTCTCACCGTTTCGTCCATCTGAAATCGACCGTGTGCAAGTCGAAGCTCCGCTCACATTTTTCCAAAAAAAGAAGCTCCGCTCACCTTTCAAAGCATCAACTATTTTGAGCATTTTTAATGCATTTCAAAACAGCTTGCAGGATGCAGAGTTGCTGGTCAATGTTAACAACCATATGCTTGTTCCAAAGCATGAGACGCTTAGCAATGAAGAAAAGAAGAAACTGTTGAATCGTTATACTTTCAAAGAAACACAGGTAAGTTCTTTGGTGATATAGATAAATTCAAATAGAAGAAGAATGCATGTCCCATTTGCCTTTAGAGCCGTGGCCGAATGGTTGGGAGTTTTTTTTCTCTCTGACATAGCTCTTCGAGTGCACTGATTTTCACTAACTTCTTTAACATTTGAACTTCAACTCTTAAAAATGTCCAGGCTTATGGGTTTAGTTGTACATTTTTGCCCCCTATTCGTTGGGATAGATGAGAACCGAATCAGTATTTGTATTTTAGTTTATTTATATATATATATTATTTTTTATTTTTAATATTTAGTTTTTTTAATGTTGAGTTTGCCCCACCTTGAAAATTAGGCTGGTTCCGCCCCTGGGTTGCTCGACATCAGGGTTGGCTAATTTGTGGTGGATGATATTAGATTTGACTTATATTAAAAAAAGGTAGAGATAGACCTAAAAAGGCTTGGTAAGAAAATATTAGAAATGACCTTTCTATATTATATTTAGATAAGAATCACTCTTTAAAGAACACAATGGAGGAAAATGATTCATGTAGCTGATCCCATATAGTGGGAAATGGCTTGTTCTTGTTGTTGCTTTTGTTGTGTCAAATGCATCATCATCGGTATCACGGAGTTCATGGATTGACATCATTATACATGCATGCATTATGTAGGCTAGTCCAGGCTGGAAATGATGAAACACTCTTATCTTTCTCGTTCTTACTCTTTCTCCTGGCGGATGGAAGAATACACTTCTTGCATTGACAAAAAGGCGAACACCATCAAATGTAAATTCAATGCCTCTTTCTTCTTCCCTTGCTATGACTTCATTGCATAATACCTCTACAATTCCTAGAATCCTTTAAGCTGTTGCTCGAGCTTTTTAATTTTAGCATGTTCTAATTCGAGATGGGATCCACTACCAGCACTATAGTAGTTTTCATCCCAGTTGTACTCTTCAAGCCAAGCATCTTCTTCACAAGCAGTCATCCATTTCTCAGCCATCTGAACTATTTCTTTCGATCCTACTAAAGCTTCTTCTTTGACACATCAAATATGAGATTCAATCAGCTGTAGGATTAAAGAAGGGTCAAGAGCACCAAATATAATAACCTCAATTGAGATTTCTACATCATCGTCACCCTTTTCAACCAAATGCTTCCAACGATAGATAAAACTCCTCTACTTCAGCCTTCTTCCTCAGAACCTGCTCTTTCAACTTGCAAATGTCTTTGATCAATATTATAGATTCAAGGT